ACTCAAATCTAACAAAGATTAAATAATTAAGGAAAGTTCTGGAAGGATACTACCAACTGCTTCATAATGTTGCCTCTGGATTGTTTGAAAACTTTTAACAGTAACATACAGGTACGTTACTTTATAAATTTTATAATAAGTTAATTAGTTTGTTGGAGGGAGGAGCGAGGCAGGCCCTCTGCAGGCAGCCCCGAGGGCGCTGAATGGATGGCAGCAGCTCAGCAAGGTTTGCTGAACGGGAGGTATTCCATACTGACTCCCCGGGCCTCTGGAGGCACCCTCGGAGTACTCCAGGGAAAGGTGCTTCTTCTGCCAGCTGGGAGCAGGAGCTGGATGGGCAGTGGGGCTGAGGAAAGCTGTGGGGTCTTCAGAGGCCTACAGGAGGAAGAGCGGACCTCAGGCAGTGCAGGAGATGTCTGGGAGTCAGGGAGGCCAAGACTCAGCCCCAGAAAAGGAGATGAAGGCCAAGAGGAGTAAGGGAGCAGCCAGCAAGCCTCCAGGGTCCTGCAGGATAGGGAGGCTGTGGGTGTGGAGGACACTTCCGGCAGCAGCTGGTCATGCTAAGCTGTTGAAGAGGGGGCGGAGCTGTCTGGCTCCAGGACTTGAAAACTCCCTGTTGTACAGCATGCAAAATCCAGATTAGGGTCCCTGGGGACAAGCATACAGAAACACCCCTCCTGCCCAGATCCACCTACTTTATAGAGAGGTGGAAGAGGCAAGTAGGTCCAGGAGAAGTAAACGCACCCCCTGCCCAAATTTCTGGGGTCACCTGCTTATGGCCCATTTGGAGCCAAGAATGGGGCACAGAGCTCAGAACCCTATACTCTCACCAACGTGCTCAGATCCTGCTAGATCGGTGGCAAGGAGTCTGGGAGTAGGGGCAGAAAGCAGAGAGCAACACATTCCTAAAAATTCGGGCTTTTTTTTTCTTTTCCTATTTGATGACAGGAAGCAGCAGCAGCCAAGTGGGGTGATTTCTAAACCCTTCTAAAATGAAAACCTTTCATCTCCCAAAGTAAGCCATTCCCAAAACTTTACTTCTGGAGGAAGAACGCAGTAATTGAGAAGTACAGGAAAATCAGACTGTTAAAGCATCCATTTGCAAACATGCCTTAATGTTCTTATCGAATACCTGACCCAAAGGGCATGCCGCAATGTCTGTGTCTGCTCCAAGCCAGGCCTGCGAGCCTGCGAGCCACCTCGTGAGCCACTCATCTCAGGAAGGACAGCCACGTGCTAAGAGGGCAGCACCCTGCTGGCGGCATGGCCAGGACTGGAACCTGGGTCTGGGGACTCCAGGTGCTCCCCTTCTTTTGCTGAGAGATAAGCATTCCTAGGGCAGCAGCTCCAGATGCTCTGCATAGGAGGGGCTTGGGGAGATAATGGGGGGCGGGAGAGGCTGGTGGCCTCGCACTGAAGCTGTGCTGAGATCATATGTTCATGTGGGGGCATTTTTAAAGGAACTGGTGAAGACTATGGGAGGGCTAAGCATCCCTAAATCTAGAATGCCTCTAGTTTCTGATATAATAGGCCTGAGGAATGTTTGCTCAATTGATTCCAAGGAAGTATGAACTGAAAAACCAAAAGGTCCCCTCATGGCTTCAGTGCTCAAAGGTGGCCACCCTCCCTCTCTGCCCAGGCTAGTCATCCGGCAAGGGTGGATCTGGGCCTGGGCCCTGCTCTTCTCGCTTTATAGACAATGAGGGTAAAAAGGAACACACATGCCACATTGCTGCGCCTGACCTACGCACAGCAGTACCCGCACATGGGCAGCTCACATGCGTGAACTGAGCCCTGACCACGCTCACAGCCGCCCAGATCTATGACATCACTATACAATCAAGTTTCTACTTGTCTGTTCCTGCAATACATAAGAATGACTGGATGATGGCCACATTTGGAGGCTGTATTTGCATGCTCGGACTTAAAATGTCATTATATGAGATACAAAAATGTTACTGGTGATGGGGGAGAGGGGATTCAAATAGGTGATGTCCTTGTCCTTCAGGGTAGTTGAAAGGTGGGCACAATCTGAGGCCGGTGTGACCGCGGATCAGGAGACAGGCCACATCACGTCCACACTGTGGACAGAGCAAACTGAGGTTTCAAATATGTGCCTCAAGGCACAGCACCCAAGCCCACCAAGGCAGAGCTCCTCCTCACATGGACAACTCTACATGGCCAATGCCAGGCTTAGCAACAGCAGGAATTTATTTATTTCATGAGAGTCAGTGATTTTCACAAGTGGAAATGGAGAAATGAGCTAATATTAACATTCTCAGCAGCAGCAGCAGCAACCACTTTTTAAGCCCATAGGCCTTTAATATACATTATCTCTACTGTCATCCTGTTAATGTGATTTCTATTGCAGAGGCGAGAAAACTGACACTCAGAGAGGTTAGTGCTTTACCATGGTCAAAAGGCCAGTAGATGGGGGGGGGTCACAATTCAAACCCAAGACTGCCTACAAAGCCCAGGCTCTTTCTATTACAGCCTTAGAAAATGCCCTGGGAACGCAGTATACCAGGTGGTCTTTTATCTAAGTATTAACAAAGCCCAGCCTGCTTATTATCTAAGGTCAGAGAGCTGTGGTTCCCCTGGAGCACCCATCCATCAGAGGTCCATCCATGGACCTCTCAGGAGGGAGAGCCATGTGCTAAGAGGGCAGCACCCTGCTGGCGGCATGGCCAGGACTGGAACCAGTGTCTGGGGACTCCAGGTGCTTCAGGTGGTCAAGCTTGCAGGGCACTGGAGGGCCCTGGGGAGCATTCTCCATTCTGTGATTGGCTGTGGAGGCCCCTGAGACCACATCAGAAGACAGATTAAGTGGGAAGGAAACCAAACTCAATCTGGTTTAGGGCCACCTATTTGGGCCGCTCTGTCCAGCAGCCTACCCAGGGGTAACCCCCCACCCTGTCCTTACCCATCTCCCACTTGTGCCCAGGAGCTGGCCCTCCTCCTCACCATGAGACCACCAACTCTACTTTGGTGCTAACCTCTTGCCAGGTCCAGGGGAAGGCATTTTAAACTCCCTACTGCCCTTAAGCCACACAGCCACTGCAGGAAAAAATATACCCTGAGCAGTGTTCCTATGTACCTCTCCTCAAATTCAGTGTCTCTCTGCCATCTGTGCTGAGGTTGGTCACACGCATTCCGGGGCATGCTCTCAGCTGGTTTTGTAAAGCTGAGTTCAATTCAGAAAAACAGGGCTGGTTGGTCCTGGAGGGACATGCAGGTACCACAGTGAACAGTTCCATTTGCTTTTAAATCACATTGGATTGACAAATTCAAAAATAGCTCAGTCTGGCACCCAGTTAAGGAATCAGAGTACAAATTAACTTGGCCACATCTTTCCTTATCAGTGATATTGGGCCTTATATGGCCTGGGCTTTTTGATGATGAGCAGGCGTGTGGATATTCTTAGCCAGACTCAACGCCAAGTAAAAATGACAGTCACTCTCCAACATTTGTAAGTACTTACAGGTTTATTTCCTCTCATATTTATTTATTCATGACTTTTCCAAAGATGGGCTGCCTGCTCTTTCATCACCCAAATCTGAGCACAAACACTGGAAACGTCTTTAGAGAGATGCATATTTTCACACTAAATGTTTCAGCTCTAGGAATACATTTTAAACCTATATTTTCATCTCTCCAGTTTACCACGTCCTTGTTTTACCCGGCAAAGCCTTCAAGTTTAAAGTCTACGGAAACTTTTCTTTTAATTTTGTCAGAATAAAGACAACGTTGGCAGCCTTTCACACTTCCCTCATACTGACGACCACAAACATTTTGTATTAATAAATGTCTCAGCACATGCAAGCCTGCAAATCAGATTTAAACCTCATTCTAAGCTACAGTCCACTACTTCCTCGGAAAAACTCTCCAAGCCCAGCCCAGCCCCACCCCTACCCCACCCTACCCCCACCCTGCTCCCGCCCCGCAGCCTCACAGCCTTAACTGGGTGCGGATTTCATTTTTATACTTCTCCCTCCTTTTGACTTTGCCCCTCACGGCAAAAGTTGAGTTTGAAAGGCCCAATAACCGCAAGTGAAAATTCTAATGGCACCAAACAGGTTTTAGTTAAACACGTTTGCAAGAAAAAGACCAAGTTTCTGAGCAGCACACAACACTCAGGCCTTTGAAACTTAGCACGGCTCATCCCTGAGTTTCTTTTTGTAGAGTTGCAGTGTTTCTTCCTTCACAACCACCACCCTCTAGAAGTCTGGGCGCCGTGTCTAGGTCAGAAACCCAGACATGCCCTTATATGTAGCAAAGGCTTGCTGGAGCTTTTCAACTTATCCTTTATTCAATTCAAATTTATCCTTTAGTTTTTCAATGGAAAAACGGGGCCACTATGCTCACCCCCAAAACAAAGCTGCACATCATGCTCACTCGGGAAACATCTTAGGCTTCGGGTTTCACCTCCTAATCTTGAAAGGTACCTCTTCCTTTTTGTTATCTTGCTTGGCAATTTCACTTTGCCCATACAGCTCATCACAAATATTAATATTAATATGTATACTTTGCTGAGTGCCTGCCCTGGCAGGCATGGGGTAGATATTATTATCCCCCGTATACACCGGGAGGGAACTGAGGCTCTAAGAGGTTGTCACCCACGACCATTCTGCTAAGTGGCAGAGTCGATTAGAACCCGGGCTTGTCTGGCTTAAAATTCCTTGCTGTTGCTTCGCTTAAGAGCAGCTGCCCCCAGCTCCGGGAAAAGTCTGTAGATCCGGTGCGGCCCAGCGGAGCAGGTCTAGATGGAGGGTCTTTTAAAGATCTCCTCCTCTCCGCGATTCTCAACAAACTCCCACTGGGGAGCCCCCACTCCCCCGACCTTCGGCTCTGGGACGCCCCTCCCACCCACTCCCATTCCTGCCCCTTCTCCTTTCCAGCCCCTACCACCGCGACCCGCCGGGGCGGCTACACACAGTCAGGTGCCCGCCCGGCCGGGGGCGCAGGGTGTGGAGAGGGTCCCTGGGCCGGCCCGCACCTACCTCGTCCCCGAAGCGCACAACCTTCTGGCCCGTGGGCCCGCGCAAGCCGGGGAAGCGCGCGAGCTCCTCGGAGTCCCCGGAATCCCCGGAGTCGCGGGGCGCCGGGGCGCTCGGCCCCACCAGGCACCGGTCGATGATCTCGTCCTGCTGGGCGGGCGGCAGCCGCGCCCACTCGGGCCCGTACTTCTCGCGGATCTTCTCCTTGTCCTGCATGATCTTCCTGGCCATGGGGCTCAGCGACGAGAAATAGGTGAAGCGCTTCCGCTCCCGGTCATCCAGAGGCCGGTTCCCGCTCATGACGGCCGAGCGCGAGGCCGCGATCGCCGCCGCCATGGACGCCATGCCCGGCCTGCCCGCCGCTCACCCGCCCGCGCCGCCCCGCCCCCGCTGCCCGGAGCACCGCCCCGCCCTCGCTCCGCCCCGCCGCGGGAGTCCCGCCCTCTGCCCCACCCCACCCCGAGAACGGCGCTCTTTCGTCCCCGGGAGCCCTGCCCTCCGCGCCCCCCACCCTCGGGAACCCTGCTCTCCGCTCTTCCCCCGCCCCGGGAAACCCCGCCCCCCGCGCCTGCCCAACCTCGGGAAGCTGGCGCCGCACTGCTCCCGGGAATCCTGCGCTCCGCCCCCTCCACCCCGCCCCCCCGGGCCCGCCCAATCCCGGGAACCCCCCGCCCCTCTGACCCCAGGAACGCGCCCTGTGGTCCCCACTGCCCCCGGGAACCCCGCTGTCTGCGCCCCACTACCTCCGGGAAGCCCCTCTCCGGTCCGCCCTCCCGGGAATCCCTTCTCCCGCGTACGCTCTACCTCGGGAACCCGGCCCTCCGCGCCTCTCTTCTTGCGACCCCTTGCGGCTCCCAGCGTCCTCCCGATTCGCCCCTGTGGGTTTCCGCGGTGCCCCCACTTTTCGGGGCTCCCTTTGGCCTGTTCACGAGGTGGTTGGCGCATCCCCAAGTCCGCGCCCAGCGGTCTGACAGGATTGCTGGTGGTGACCACCGTAGTGCCACGTGGTCACTTGTTTGACAAAGGAAACTTTTCTCCCTCTAATGTGCCTAAGAAAGACCCGCATTTCAGGACCACCGCTGCCTTATTCCCATCCTGTGCCTTTCTCTGCTCGGCCATCTTCTTCGCTTTCTTTGAGCCGTCCCAAGACACTGGGCCAGGGTCCTGGCGCGGTGAGCTGACAGAGAAGAGGTGGGCACGGGGCAGGGAGGAGGCCGAAGGGACGAGCTGGAGAGACTAGACTAGTGGGGCATAAAGTGTTAAAAGAAAATTAGTTCCCTTTCTTCCTAAAGAAACAGAGGAGTAAGATGAAGTACCAGGTAGCTCTTAATGCCTTTACCTCATCAAGGGAGCTTGGAACTGCAGGGCAGGCATCAGGCCGGCGACCAGCACACCTGTGCTTAGTTTTGCCACTGCACCTGAAGAGGTTTTCCCCAAGCTGCCCACATGGCCTTTGCTTTCTCAGATACCACAAACAAGATGACAAGATTTATTTTGGAATCTCAGAAATCACAAGAACTAGCAGCAGCTCAATGTTTGCAAACAAACTGAAGAGGGGTGGAAAATTTTCATAGTCATGTAGAGAAGCGACACCCCAGCAGTGGGGGCCCGGTTTGTCATTTTGAAGTGTGTTCCAGACCACAAAAATTAAAATTATACAGAGCCCTTGTCTGCTTTACCATCTGGCTGATTTGAACATAACTAACAGGTCTCAGATGAGAACTAAGTGTCCACCCTTAAAACAATAAGCTGCATTTCAGCTGTTACTTAAAGTCTTTGCCTCTGAAGTTAACACTTGGATAATTCTGCATACAATCATAGAAATAACTTGCAAAGTTCTGCTTTAAATGTGAGATGGCCTAATCATTTTCTGGCCCAGAAATCCTAAGAAAGTATTTTTGGAATGTCATAAATGTGACAGCTCTACAGTAAAAGATACTGCTATCAACAGTGTTATCAGCGTAATATATTGAAGCAGTGGGAAAAGCCACCAGACAACAGCCTGGGTTGCACAGTATGTAAAGGACTATTTATGAAGCCACAAGGTTGAGAAGAGTTTTTTTTGGAATTATTATTCTCTCTCTAAGTCTATGCTGTATAGGATAAGTACACTAACCTGAATCCCATTGATTTCTCACCTCTAATCTCTGTTTAATAATGTGGGTGATGGTTAAAGATTTGTTCTTGAAATTTAATTAACAATCTTGGAGCATACTTTGAAATTCACATAGGAAGGGTTCTGTGCTATTAGGAATTTGGTCCCATGTGGTTTTCAAAGCAGTTGCAAAAATAAATGTTGCTTTCAAAAAAGCAAACCCAATTAAGTGTTTTGGATCAAATATAATTTTATTGCCAGAGAAGTCATAATATAAATATGGTATGAGATAATTCAGGGACATCAGCCAAAGTATGTAAAGTCCATGATCTGGATGATAAGGAGTAACTAAAAGAAAACTTTTTCCAGATTATGAGAAGAAACTTGGGAATTACATGGCTCTGACAGATGACTTGGCTGAATGAAATTGGAGGGGAGGAATATGTATATGAATATATATATTCACTCACTCCAGTATGAGGAAATAAAAATAGCCAAACTCCAAATATATAATAAAGTAAAATAGTGGGATGGCTCTAGTGCTAAGCATCTTCTTAAGCAAGAATTTGGATGGAGGCAGTCTACCTTGTCCTTCTTGTTGGAGTTGGCTTAGCCGGTGGACTCTGGTCACAAAATGCAGAGACTAGCACATGGTCCCTGACCCTCTGAAATGATTTAAAACTTTGCAGTGGTCCAAAGAGCATTCCTTTAGTCAACATTTTACTGAGGCATATGCTACTTCATATTAAGCATTGTAGGGGGAGGAAAAAAGGGTGTGAGGCAGAATTCAGGGTTATTTTTCCTAGATCTACTGGCGATGGACAGTCGATGTTCCATGCAAGATCAGCTTTTCAGGACCTGAAGATGGTGGTAGGTCCTTGAATGCTTTTCTTAGAATTAGGGAGACACAGCAACAAACACTTTAACTAAGAATGAAACCATCTCTGGTGTCTTGAACTGTGGAGCTCTTCTTTTGCAAGTGCCATTTCAGTCATTTTTCTTAGAAGTGTTCCTAAGTCTTCACCAGAATGTAAACTCCACAATAGGGAGAACATTATGTGTCTTGTTTACTGTTGGGAACAAGAATCCCTGATTGAGAGTAAGGGCTCAGTGGCAATTTGCTGAATGAATTATGATTGAATGCATGCACAAATGAATGAATGCATGTTACATAGTTTGCATTATTATCCCCTCTTTACAGATAAGGAGACCGAAGCATCAAAGGAAAACACTCACCTGAGATTATCCCCCATCACCTTCATAGTCTGTGATGGAATTGAGATTCACAGAACAGAGGTCTCTTTGCCTTTTGTTAAAAATCTCCAACATGAGATTAATGTGTCTAAGATTAATTACTGTATAATAACCTGGGTTCGTAATAATAAACTGGGTTCATGGCTACAATTTATTAGAGCTTCTAAGTTACTCATTGGTGAAACACAGCACTGATTTTTTCAGTATAATAATTGAATACCCAAGATGATGACCAACATTCCAACATCTTGGCTAACAGTTGCTGCCCTGGGTCAGCCCTATTTAAGAAAATCTATTGAGAGAGACACGAACGGCAAGGCCATGCCCCATGGGTGAAGGTTACCCTGGGGGACCTAGGGGCTGACAAGATTCAATGGCTTTGAAAAAAAGCCCAGCAGCAATAAAGTGGGGGGCACTTGAAGTGGGGCACTGTTATCATGTGCCTGCCCACCACAGAGATGGGCAAAGGGCATGAAGTGTGGCTCACACAAAACTTCTGCTAAATATCCGTCTAGGCCTCAATTTCTTCAGCTTTCAGATGGGGATAACTGTACCAACCTTCTAGGGTGGGATATCGAATGAGAGAGAGCGGGTGACACATGTGAAAGACCCCCCCCCCCAATCCATGCTAGTGAGCCAGCATCTCGGACTTCACGTCCACTTGGCACTACATGTGTTGTATTTATCCTATTTACCTACAGGTAAGGTCCCTTAGTCACTATGGCTATTTCATGACTTTGATCTTCTTAGGTGAAGATAAGGGCAGGGCTCTTTCTTCTCTTTCTGTCGCCTGTCCCAAAGTGCCTACTGTACAGCTGAATGTCAGATAGGCTCTTAGTACAAATGTCTGTTGAATGAATTTGTTGTCCCAAACAATTTTTGAACTCATTCCCCCCGTGGAGATACACTGCAAGATAATGGAAAACCACAAGGCAAGCTTTCCAGTCCTGCTTCTAAGAGCCGAGTGACCAGTTCTAACGTTTTGTGAGCTGGTTGCTGAACCTAATGGTGAAATTCCAGACACTGTGGCCAACAGATGACACTTTTGGGAAGGGAGTCTATTAGTGACATGGCAGGGCAGTCTACTGGTAGACAAAGCCGGCCTTCCCTACAGATGCTCTCAGCTTGGATGCAGGCAGGCTCCCTGAGGACAATGATTCATTCTTACATCTGTTACTGGTTATTCCAGATGCTGCCCTGAAAGAAGACTGTTCTCTGCTCTTCACTCCCACACCCAGAAAGAATGAGCGATGGACAAGAATGAAGCTGGTTTATTTCGAAGACCAGTATGCAGTATGATTGGAGGGCAGTGTTCATGACCAAGACAAAGGATGCAGGAGGCAAGAAAGGAAAGACTAGGAGATGATTTTACAAGTTTACTGTTGGCAGAAATTGTGCTTTGAATATTCTGAGGGGTTGAGTTATTTTTCCAATTGTAGGGAGAGCTTTCACTGCGACAACCATGGCCTGTCACGACGTCTGGGCAGGTGTGAGTCACTCCCTATGCCTTCAGGAACAGAATCATCTTCTCTGGGCAAAACCACATGACCCACACGAAGCTCAAAACCGGGCCCTTCTCTCCATTGACATCATACCTTATGTGGCAAAGATAATTGGCTTAGCTGCTCTGTGAAAAATGCTAAAAGGTTGCAACAACAACAGAAATCTTCTACCTACCTGGATTTCTACATTTAGAAAAGCCTCTGAGATTTTCAGTCCTCTGTAAGAATATAAATAAATCCAGAAGCAATTGTTCATCCTTTTTTCCCTTTACCTGAAATCCCCACCTCACTATCTCCAAATACAGAAATCCCATCCTTAAGACCTAGCTCAAATGCTTCCTTCTTCATGAAGTCCTCATGACCACTCACACCCAGAAGAAGGTAGGTAGGCATAAAAGAGACAGTTCATCTCCTTTGTAGTTTGATCTCAGATACACTTTGGTGTCCTGGGAAGAACAATGCCAACAATTTGGCATTATACATGTGTGTTATGGACGCATGTGGTGTCCCCCCAAA